AGCGTGGTGCTTTGTACGCCTGCGTGTCTCGACGGGCCGTGTGCGTGCGTGGCTGGCTGGCTCTGAATCGAGCGCGTGCCGCTCGACAGAAGAAAGAAACAGAGAGAGCGAGAGCGAGAGCGAGAGAGAGAGAGAGAGAGAGAGAAAAGGAAAAAAAAATCTATATGGCCTTTCAGCCGGAAGAACGTCTTCCTCGGAGGAGAGGAAACGTCCGCGCCGGCACGTGCACGTGCGTGCGTGCGCGATTACGTGCGTGAGGACGCGCGCGTTATTTAGCGCTGGCACTGCCGTCCACGTGTCCACGATCCTTTCGCCATTCTACGCGAAATCGTAGTGGACCGCTGTTCAGCCGAGAGAGGCTACTCTCGCTGCAACTCCACTTTGGGAGCACGTACGCTCGAGATCATCGATCCGACCGAATCGACCATTTCCCAACAGCTGCCTGCGTTTATCGCGATTTATCGCCGTTGTGGAAATTAATCTCTCTCTCTCTCTCTCTCTCTCTCTTTCTCTATTTCTTTTTTGTTTTTGTTTTTTTTTTCAACAAACTTACAGACCAAATGAATGGAACCGATACGTCTCACCGGCTGAAATTCCCGCTTGCTTACATCTCCGGCGTCGATCGGAAAGAGACACAGGCGCGAGAAACACAGCCGCGACCGCGAAAAACTAATATCGGTGCGACGATAATCGGCGAGACAAAGAGCGGAAAGTCGGCAAAACTCGGCGCGAGACACTTTGCGAGCGGACGTGAGCGAGGCGCGTGCATCACTGACGAGGCGAGCGACGAGGCGGGCAGAAGGAGGCTGCCAGAAGGAGAACCGAACCGAGAGGAAGCGGATCGCTGGAATCCTCGTTGCTGCCGCCGCCAACACCGCCGCCGGCCGACACCGCCGCCGCCGCCGCCGTTGCTTTTATAATCAATATTAGTTGACGGAGAATCCGCCGAGCGTCGCCGTTCGACGCCGCGCCGCCACAGCCGAGACATCGAGAGAACCACCGATCCTCGCGCGTCGCCCCGCTCTATATTCACAGAGCTAGCCCCGCTAGCCTCTACACTAACCTCTCACCGCCTCACTTACTTTCGTTTATCGTAGGAGTTTTCGCTAGGGGGATCAATCAGACGCACCTCCGGGATTCTCCGCTTCGATCCGCATGCCAACGTACTCGCCTCGCACTTGCCACCGGCGCGTTCACGACATCGCGAGAGTCACCCTCCCACACACAGAGATCGCGTCATCGCCTCGAACGAGGATACACCACGTCCAAATGCATTTCGCGTCGTCGTCGTCGTCGTCGTCGTCGTCGTCGTCGTCGTCGTCGAACCGGGACACAGAAAAACCAGAGAAACGAGTCGAGAGAGCCGGACGAGAGAGCCGGACGATCGGCGTCCTCGTTCGAGGATGGAGAGAGGACGAAGAGAGACGCACCACGCACGGTTGTACACGCGAGGACACGCGACTCGCGAGGACAAGACGCGGCGCGCGTACCGATTGCGACGCGGAGAAAAACGCGGACAGATCACCCGACGAAATGCCCCGTGTCTCGAGCGCGTGTTTTTTTTCCCTCGGCGAGAAGTGGAGAAACTGTGGCGGCACACAGGGTGTGGCGAGACGGCGTTTCAAAAGATTGGCACGCGATTCGTTTCGACCGGCGTCCACCGTCGTGGCGAGGGCGCGCCAGACGACGCGAGCGTCGCGCACGACGACGCCACGCGACGCACCGCGCCATCTCGCACCCAGCATCGTCGCCGATCGCCACGCCACGCCACGCCACGCCTCGTCGCGACGGTATCGTCGAGATTCGCTCTTATCACCGCGACCGACCGACCGACACCACCGGCGCTTTTATCAGTCGAGTTTTCATTTCTCTCTCTCTCTCTCTCTCTCTCTCTCTTTTTCTCTCTCTGTTTCGATTTCTAGTCAAGAAAAGTTCCCTACTTTTTTTTTTTAAATTTAGATTCAATTTGATTTTCGATTTTCGAACGAGACGACTGCATCTCCTGTCTGGGAGAAAGGAGATCCGACTCGTCACAATCTTCGCAAGTTGACTCTTCAACTGCACGACGAGGCAAACCTATCGTCGTCGTGGAACTTTGAAAGTGACGCGCGTCGGTTTGACCACTTGCGCTGGCAACTGGTTCGCAGACCATAACAATTCTTCTTTTTGAATTCGTCGGTATGTCTGGATAGAAATTTACCAAGTAATTACTAAGAAATTTCTGGATAGAAATTACTAAGTAATAAATTTATTATTTGTTTTGCTGGGTTATATATCAATAGAAATTAAAACTGAAAAATAAAAATATTGCAATTATGGACTAAATATTCTGCGTGGAACGTCATTCCAACTGATTGCAGAACGTAACGAGTGATCAAATATACCGTATGTAATAATTCGTCGCTTTCTTTTTGAACACGTCGGTATGATAATCGCTGGATAAAAATTATTGACAAGTAATAAATTTATTATTTGTTTTGCCCAGGCTATATTTAAATTGAAATTAAAGTTCAGAACTGAGAAAATATTGCAATTTCGGACCAAATATTCTCGGCGTGCGTGACACGTTATTCCAGCGCAAGAGGTTAATCCTTTGGCTTCCGGTGTCTTTGCCAGCATGCTCAAAGCGCAGCTGGACACGTTCAAGGAACAAAAAAAAAGGGGGGGGCGGAGAGGGTTCCAAGCTCTAGCGAGATGGTTCGATCGCGTTCACCTCTCCCTTTCATGGAAATCGGCTTTCCGGTATTAAGGGCGTCCGCCTCGATTATTGGATCGTCGCTTCGCTCGCGGACACGCATCCAACACGTATCGCAGTGTACCTTTCTATTTCCCCCTGCCCCCGGGTTTGGGGGCAGACTAGACTCAACGTGTCGTAAAAGAGAGCCACGAGCTGCGCATACGCTGCGTGCCGAATTAGAAGTCCTTACAAGTCAGCATCGAAGCAAGCCCCCCTGGTCTTTGATCTCGCGAGGGGCGAATGATACTGATAAGATTGACGGCCTAATTCGTTTCGGTCCTAAAAGTTCCTCTTGGCGTTGTGAAGCTGAGAGGGTAGGAAGATGTGGCTCGATCCTATTGAGGAATTCATTTGTATAACGGTGTGAATGTCTTGATCGATGATCGTGGCCGATTTTGTTTTAAGCAGATGAATAATGTACATATGCGCGACACGGACTGGACGCTGCACGTGCTGCGGTGTTTCGGCATATAACAGGCTAATTTTATAACAAATATATTGTACGCAGTTTTTACTCGAATTATTAGTATTCTGAATGATACTTAATTATAGTTGGTTATTCTTCAGATTATTCTTCGTTTCGGCTTGCCGGACCGAGTCGAAACGCTAACCGTAACTACTTTTTCCCATCGATTTCTCTTTAAGAAGCGCCTTCGAGACTCTCGGCGTGAATAAGGTGGAAAATTACACGCCACGAGAAAAACGAGATTGAAAACGGAGAAGGCAAGCCACATGCCGCACGAGAGAAATGAAAGAGAGAAAAGAGAAAAGAGAGAGGGGCGAAGAGGTGGTTGAAGTTAACGAGAGAAGGAAGGAAGAGGACGGTGGACGTATCGGTTTCGCGCTGCGTCCAAGAGGAGCGTCAGGCCTGGCCTGAAACTCGAACCGGGGAAACCCGACAGACGCGGTTCGTCGATTCCAGGGGTTAAGTTAAGCTCGTAACGCGTGCCTGCTTAAACACCGGCCGGCAAAGCTTCCAACGACGGATCTCGATTTCCGCCGGGATCCACCCACATCTCCTTCGTTGATCCGTTCCGCCAGAGGATTTCGTTGTACGCGAAAAACGTACGTACGTATCTTTGCGAAAAGACCAGATTTGGATCAACTGGGAACGATCGATTCGATCAAACAGCGTTTCGGATTCCGTGAAAAGAAATAACAAGCAACGTTTCCAACCGTGGTCAAGGATGACGCAGACTAAAACTCTCTGACGGAAAAGAGTCTTTTTTTCTTCCTAGCTCGTCTTTTCTTCAATTATGATTGTAGATTGTCGAAGCGTGGATGACCAACTACTGAGATTTGCTCTATGAATAATAATTGTTCGTAGGGCGCTTTCGAAGCTGTTACTGACTCACAATCGGTGTATCAGCACTGAGCCTAATTGGTCATCCAACGTCAGTGTTGAGGTCACTCACGGCTGGCGTTCATCCTTTTTTTTTTTTTTGTGCACCCTTGACTATTTCTATTCTTCTCGAAAAATCACCCACTGTTGTGGAAAAGGAACTGAATCCTCGCCAACTGCGGTTGTTCACCCAACGGATCAACGTTCTTGACATCTCAATACCTTATCGTCGTTCAATTTTCCTTTCAATTTCTAAATTCTAACAAACTTTATATATTTATTTCAAAGCTTTGATTAATTTCGCGTTACTTTTCCCTACAATAGCAAACGCCCCCGCTGTTGGATTCCGTGTAATGGAGTCAACACGCTTACAATTTAGAAGAGTTTATTCCCTTACAGTCGTGGTCGTGTATGAAATAGGATGATATACAATGATTTAGAATGTCTTAAAACATGATGAATGTCTAATGCTCTTAACGATATAGAATGTCTCTATAGTGATTTAGAATGTTTTATGAGTGACAATGTCTCTAAAGCATGTCCTTCTATATATATATTTGGTTATCATCGTCAAGTGGAGGGGGAAGGAGCATAGGTGACCAACTATTGAATCTTGCCCTTATGACTAATTATTCACAGTCCACTTTTATGTGGACTGTTGCTAGCTTATTGTCAGTATTTGCATACATTCAATATTGTCCGGGTTGGTCATCCAACACCGCCACAGAGTGGCCTTGAAGGAGCGTGATAAACGTTAGGAACTTTAATGTTGTTTAATACTCGGAAAAGGAGAAGAAATTTGTTATCCATGAGGAATTAATTTAATTTCTTTGTATTGGCGAGAAGTCGTGGCTTGGCAAATAGGTACGTAGAAATCGTCACGGCCGACAGAGATCGTCGAGCAGCGTTCAAACAAACGGTAACGGAGGAAAGGATCTAGCAGCCTACTCGACCTGTGTGTATCGGGTTCCTGCGCGGAAGAGAACGCGGAGAGGAAGCGAGTTGGAGCGAGTTCTCGAATGAAACGAGGAAAAAGACTGACTCACCGATGTCGTTGGACTGTCGACCCTTGCCATCCGAATTCCACTCTTCCTCTGCAACAAGAAAATTAGATACGAGTCTGTTAGCGTCGAGGCCACGAAACGAGAAGAAGAAGAAGAAGCAGCAGCTCGAGGCTTTCTCTCTTTTCGAAAAGAAAAAAAAAAAAAAAAAAAAGAAAAGAAAAGTTAGCTCGCGCGATTGCATTCGCGGCAAATGCAAATTAAACTGGCAATTAATCGGCGAGCGCGCGGACAAACTTCTCCTGCTTGGCTGCCTTTGCGAACATCTTCGGCCGAGACTGAGATTTGCGAAACTTGCGAGAGCAACCGAGCGCAAGCAGAGCTACCGAGTTTTCGAGCTTGGAATCTCAACTGGATGATATACCTAGTCGACGATATCCAGCGAGCACCGGCGAAGAGTTTGACGAAACTTCCCTCCCGATGCCATCGCGCGTCGCGGCGTGCCACGTTTCCCCGATCGGGAAAAAATCAAAGTTTTCTCGCGTTTGCCGAAACTCGAGGCTGCCGGAAAGTAGATTTTCCTTTCGGTTTCCTTTGGCTCGCGTTCTCCGCCCAATTTCCTTTGAACTTCGATCAGACGTCTCGCGGAGAATAATCGCGAAGCGAGAGTCGTTTCTCTCTCTCTCTCTCTCTCTCTCTCTCTCTCTCTCTCTCTCTCTCTCTCTCGGAGAAATTGTGTTCGGTGGCAGCAGAAACGAGGAGAGAGGGAGAGCGAAGCGCTTAGCTGCCTACTGGCGAATACATGGACCTTTAACGTGTAATAACGCGTGCAGGTTTCACGACCTAGCCACTACACCACGTACGTACATACGTATACGCGTTGTGCATATTTCAGGGGCAGAACACGGCAGGCTGCTCCTGCAGAGAGACGACCGTCCGTGCGTCGCGTGAATTTATAAGCATCTCCCGCTACTTCCGCATTCTTAGCCACGCGGGAGGTATGAATTTAAATCTACCCTCCGCCGGCCCATTTTCTCCCCCGAGTTTGAGCGTTAATCCGCGAAAACGCGCTGCCTCCTCTCTCGCCCCAGATTCCAAGCAGAATCGGCCGCTCTGTCAACGTAACTGATGTCGTCTCTCGACGAACGCGCGTTCTGATTCTCCGAAGCAGAAAAAAAAAACATTGTCACGTTTTGTCTCGAAATTTTAATATATATATATATATATATACATACAGGGTGTTTCGTAACTTGTGGGATCCACTTCGGAAGCTGAAATGTGTACGCTTAAAAATAACGGAGAACAGTCATATAAATGTCCTATCTGTTTTCGTTTATGAGATATCATGAATTTTCTGTTTTAATTACTTTTACAAAAGATGCTCGAAATGACCATCTTGCATTTAAAGACAAGCCTGCACGCGTAACCATTCATTTGGTTACTCTCTCTATTCTTTCTGGTGTTTCTCGAATTTGTCGGAAGCCTTGCTCTATTCTATTTCGTAGTATGTCAGCATTTTCAATCGACGTTGCGTATACAATAGATTTTAAATGTCCCCACAAGTGAAAATCTAATGGAGTCAAATCCGGAGAACGAGTAGGCCATGCAACAGGACCTCCACGACCAATGGATTTATTATTTGCAAAGCGTTGATTTAAAAATTGCCTAGCCACTCGGCTAAAATGCGGCGGAGCTCCATCGTGCATAAACCGCATACGAATAATCTAATATCGACTGGAACTTCCTCTAATATTTCGTGTAAACGCGTGCTGAAAANACATGTGGGTTTTCTTCATCCCAATTATGATTATTATGAAAATTGAATATACCATCCCTGGTAAAACTAGCTTACTAGAGTTTGCTCTGCTTATAAAATTCATTATATCTCATAAACGAAGACAGATAGGACATATATTTATATGACTTTTTTTCGTTATTTTTAAGCGTACAATCAGCTCTCGAAGTGGGCTCCACAAGTTACAAAACACCCTGTGTATATATATATATATACAGTGAGTAACGAAAGTATTCGAATGATAGAAAATAATTGCTTATAAAAAAATTGTATAATAAATTGCAATTGATTGCAAACAAATTGTTTTTATACTATTGTATATACATTTGCAAAATATATGCAAAGTTCGAGATAATACACGGGGATAATAACAGGGCAAAGAGTCGTTTCTCCTGATGAGAGAAACGTAACTTTCTCCCGATTCGCGTTACGTTTGCGATAGGGATGACGTTCGGCTAGCTAACTAACAGGTCGGGAAACAACGATTTAATAAAATGTCGAGACGACGCGAAAACCTTGCGCGAAATTTCCATGACAGACATATCTCGCGAGCGCGCTTTCCCGATAAACCCGCCCTCTCCGCCCCTTCGTGAAAGTCCTCCTGCGAAATCTAAAAGTCAAAAGGTCGGCGTATTTACAAAATGAAAGAGGCCGGAGGAGGGAGGGAAGGAAGGGGAGAGGAGAATGATGGCTGGAGGCAACGCCGCGCGCGCGCTGCCTTTTTCCCTGCTCTCCTCTCCTTTTCAACCCTTTTTCTTTCCTTCCCCGCCCCCCATTCTCCCCCTCCGCCTCCTTCTCCCACGTTTCTTCACGCTTCTCGTAACCTCGTTTGCGATACGGACGCCTCGACCGGTGTTTTTCCGTGTCGCCTAAACGATCCTCTTTTCGTTCGTACGCCACCGGCGGAAGAGAGTCTTCTCGTTACCGGCTGAGAATCGCGGCCTCTTGGCAAACAGACGTACGTTTAACGCCTGTGAAAGCGCGACTTCTCTGTTCCCACGTTTTGTGTCCGGTAATGATAATTTTCTCGACTTTTCCCCCCCCTGTTTTTTTCTTCTTCCCTCTCTTTTGCTTTCTCGCGTTTGAGAACGGGACGCTCTCGATCACGGTCGACGATACAAACCGTGTACGAGTAATTTGAATTTTGTTACCCCCCCCCCCCCTCCCTGTCTTTCGTTTTTTCGTCACGTTCGTGACGCGGGATTCGTTTTCATTGGGTCTCGGTGGTAATCGCGGATAGTTGGCGCTACCAGACCGGACAAAAGTTAAACCGAAGCTACGTTTCACCTTCCGTCCCTTCGAGAGAATCGTCAGAGACTTCAACAACGAGAAATTAAAAGTTTGCCTCCCGGAACTGAGAGCCCGAGGGGGGCAAGTGCCGCGAACGGTGTTTTTCTTGGCATGGAATATCATCCGCGGCCCGTGTTGCTACTGATTAGACCTCGATGGAGTCTCGCCAAAGTTCTTCCCGTCCTACGTGAAATTTCCTTCCGCGTGAAGAAGCAAAGCAAGGGCGAGCAATCATCATCAACGATACTACGCGCGCCGATTTCAAATATATATATATATATATATATATATATATACCAAAATTTTGTTTTTCATCGCGCTCTTTTTTCTCGTACAAGTCTGAGAGGAGAATCTCGTCTCGCGCGTGAAACATAACCGTTCGATCTCGATCTCAGAATCGACGAGAAGCTCGTACGAAGCGAAACACGTGAAACAGGGAGTTATGAAACAGGGGAGAGATCGTCGCTGATGATCTTTAACTCATCTGCGAGTGTTTCGTCGCTCGTCTACGAATCCTTAGGAAGCCTAAGGTGTGGTTACCTGAGGTCTCGGAATCGGATCCTGGCGTGGGGCTAGCGTCCACGCTGTGCCTAGATCCCTGGCAACACTCGCTGCACTTGCTGCACATTTTTCTCCCTCTCTCTCGTTGGACGGAGAGAAGACGAAGACGGACGAAATATCCCGGCAACTATCCCGGGTATTGCAACGATCACTTTTTCGATCACTTTTTTTTCTTTTCCTTTCGTTTTCTCTTTCGTTTCTTTCTCACTAGATGCACCCACGCCGCGGCGTTTCGACAACGATCATCGGTCATCGACGCACCGGTCGCGGCCGCCTCATCGTTCAGCCAACGACGACAACCTGTCCGTCGTGCAACGGCTGGGAATTTCGACGATCGATCCACACCACCACCGTGACCACTCGATTTTCTCGGCCAGCAGCACCATCACCATCGCAAACGCCAACCACGCCGGCGGAGCCAACCGGGTCAACCTGATGGGAAACGGTTTTTCCATTCAAGAGAGAGGGAGAGAGAGAGAGAGAGAGAGAGAAAGAGAGATCGTTCGTCGCGCCTGACTTTTATCACAGGTTCGAACAAGTCCTCCGTCGTTTCAGCGTTTTGGTGCTAAACGACGGAGGACACTCGTGAGATTGCGAATTTTCCCGATTTTTTTTTTCCTTTTCGCGCGAAACACGGAGATTGCAATTCGACGTCCCGCAATTGGATCGATTGATTCAATTGAGCCCGAGGCTGCTCACGCAGAAATTCTCGTCCTCCGCTCCGATCCGAGCTGTTGGTATCGAAGTTCAGAGTAATTTTGGAACTTTATACCTATCGCCGATGCGATAAAGAAGAACACGATTTTACTCAGTTTCATCACTCGTGTCGCAATTTCCCAAAAAATTCACCGTTATAGATTTCCAATATTCCGACAGAATTCCAAGAATACCTACAGCGCGTTTAATAAGAACGCGAACGCCGTTTCTCGGCGAAAGAAATATTCTCTTTGTAGTAAGCACGGATCGAAAGTACTATTACGCACTAGTGGCGGAGATTGGACACACTTGGTTAACTCCTTGTGCCTGGCAACTGGTTCGCGGACTATAACGAGTGACCGTATACAATAATTCGTCGCTTTCTTTTACTTTCCGAACTCGTCGGTGATGATGTCACTGGATAGAAATTATTGAGAAGTAATAAATTTACTATTGTATTTTGCCTGGGTTATACTTTGATATACATAAGAAAACTGAGAAAATATTGCAATTTTGAGACAAAAAATTCTCAACGTGCGTGGTGGAGGTTAACCACTTGCACTGGTAACTGATTGCGGACCATAACGAGTGACCGAACCGTACACGACAATTTGTCGCTTTCTTTTTCTTTCTGAACTCGTCGATGATGATATCACTGGATAGAAATTATTGAGAAGTAATAAGTTTATCATTCGTTTTGCCTGGTTCACGTTTTTAGACGTTATACCTAAAACTGAGAAAATGTTGCAAT